TATATATATATATATATACACCTTGTTTGCTCGTTTAATATTGATTTAGTATCGATCCAATGAACAAATACTAAACTTTTCTATTTTGCTCTATTTTGTTATTATCTTTAACATTATTATATGTATAATATAAATTCAAAAATAAATATATGTCTCGTTATAAAAATGTGGCATTTTTATAACACTAAAAGATCTTTACCGAAATAAATACGATAAAAGGATTCTTGTAATAATAATCTCATACAAAAATTTATGATAATATAAATAGAATATCTTTACAGTAAATAATAAAAGGCTCGTCGAGATGATCTGTTAAAAGCCGGATGACTTTCTATCTATCGTTTACGAAGGCGCATGGCAACATCGCCAATAAGATTTATGATCTCCCTTCAGCTTTCCTGGCTAAAACATGACTGTCAGCACGTCATAAAGTGTTTCGGTTGGGAAAAAGGAAGCACCACATGGTGATGCACGATGATGGTCGCGAAGGAAACATAATGTATCTCCGAGAGTATAAGAACGGAGCCCGCACGCGGTCGCTATTTAAAGATATGCTACGGATTCTCTCTTGTACTACTCTCACAGATCGTCTTCCCTTTTTCTTTTCTTTCCTCGCAAACGCACACGTGAAATTTACGATGCGTATGCACGCATCGGGCTGTGATTTATTTCATTTACATACACGCGATGTAAATTACAAGCAGCGAGATGAACGAAACGAAGATCCGAACGAAACTACCGCGAACGAATGAGATATTAATTTATAATATAAATGACGGCGCGACAATATTTAAGAATGCGAATTCTATCTTGATGCACAATATATGTATACAGGATATATTATCTTATCTTATATTATCTTATCATATATGATCGCTCTTAATATCTCTTCTGATTTTAATGATACAAAAATATATGAAAAAAAATCTATCTGTTTTAAAGATATATCTATTAATCTTTTTTAGAGATTTCAATATTGATTTTTTTTTAATGAAATTGCACTAACATTTCACATAAATAAATTCTTTTTGTCATGCAGCTTATAAAAATATTAATATATTTTATTTTCAAAAAACTACATAAATCTAATAAAAAAATAAATATTAACTTGATATCTTCAAAAAAATAGATGATAAACAAAAATTGTTTTTATTACAGTATAAATGTTTTTAGAAAAATAAAATTTTCTCTTAAAAAATTTCCATCTTAAGTGTTTGAAAAAAAGTTAATATGAATGAACACATATCTTAAGTTGAATTATTTTCTATATAAGATTTAATACTAAATTTTTTAGTAGTAACTGGAATAGATAATATCCATTTTTTTATCGTTGATGAGACATTTGTTAATGAACAATATAAATTTGACGATCAGGGTGAAACAGGAAGCGAGGAATTTCGCATGTAGACACGCACAAAGAAAAGTACGTGCTTGCTCTACCTTTTAATAAAAAAATAAGTTCCGGTCTCGTGACACGTAATAAAGAAATATTATTATTTTATTATTGTTTAGGGATTTACTGCGTTTACATTTTATCCAAACAGGAAATAATTTACATACTTGTCTTTGATGAACCCATGTCTATATTAGCAGCGCGATAGGTCGGAGGCCAGTTTATGTCTTGTAAAATCCTTGCGATGATGGCGGCGATGTACAAATTACAATATCTTCTCATCATTGGCGTCTGTTTACAGTTGAGATTTTCTTATGGATTTCCTAGCAGATTGCCATATAACGGAGTTAAAATAGTTACGTATGGCGAGCCGTGTCATCCATCACGTTATCTGCCTGTTACAATCAAGGTACACATATATTAATATTTTATCATTTATTGTGTAACTTGAGCTATATAACTTAAGTTGCACATAAGGAAATATAATTTTCATATATCTTATAAACCATATTATATTAAAGCAATGGTCTAATAGCAATAAAAATTGTAAAATTTAATTATTTTAACTGTATTATTATCCTCAGAAAAAAACGCAATAGAAATGGCTTTTAATTTTTTCCTTTTTTGAAGATAGAAATGCTAAGATATATTTTTGTTAATTTTTTATCACGTGACATCATAATGAATAGATCACATATCTGTAAAATAATTTACAGGAACCCGTAAGGCCTGTAACAGAGAACGCCTTGTCTACAACACCTTGTGCCTATCAGCCACTCAAATTAAACTACCAAGTAATCGATAAATCTCCTATTTTTTATCAACCACAAGCGAAATATCCAGTTTCCATACAAGTACCTGAAGTGCCCGTTGAGTCCTTGGAGATAATCAAGCCGGATCCTTATCGAGGAAAATCCTATGTGTACAACACCCAGACCCCATTGTCTCCAATCTCTGTGCCAATCTCAACAAGTTATAATTTTGATCTTCATGTGCCTACTTCACCAACTCAGTAAGCATTCTAAAATTTTTGTTTTATATTAGTTACTACAAGAATAAATTACATTTAAATTATTAAAATTTATTTATAAAATATTTATACCATTAATAATATAATTTTTTTAAATTAATAACAATATATATTTATTAGGAATATATTTTTTTCAAATATATGATAACATTTCTTTCTATTTCAGAACCGAGATATCGTCAACATCACAGCCCGTTAAACTTTTAACAGGTCTCACCAGCAGAATTGATAGAATTCTAATTCCTGCCTGTGAATTACCTGCGAAGTGCGCCTGTCAAGTGAACTAGCAAAACCTATAAAACATGAAAAAACATCTGATAAAGCTGTATCTCTTACAGAAAAATGTGGGAAGTACATAATATTCGGACAAATAAAAAATAAAAAGATTTAAACAATGTGTGATTCTGATTTTGAATATTCCTCCATCTCTTCTCATATTTCCTTGTATCTTTATATTGAATATATCCTTATCGTATTAGAATTTTTAATTCTTAACTTTTACTTTTTTCCATTTTCTTTGATATACGTAAAAATATATTGTGTTTATTTAAATCTATTTTGTTTAACATTATTACATACACATATAAATGATTACAATATTTCTTGTAAATTTAATACTTGACAAAATAGTAATAAAAGAATCAACTCAAAATAAAATGCAAATTTAATGATAAAATAAAGTGCAATGATTGCACTGTATTGCAAGTAATATGAGTTTATCCTTATTCACGAAGAAGAATTAGAGAATTCGCTTACGTGTACGAATTTTTTAACCATACATCATTTGTCTGCATGTATGCGATATATATGACAACAAAACTATAAACCGAATGTTATTATTTCATGAAGTAATGTAAACAATATTATAATATATATGTAAAGAGAAATTTATATAAATGTTATAAACGAATATATATGAGTATATAAATAAAGAATAATTTTGTATATTATTAATATATTTGAATAAATAAAACATAATGTGTGTGCTATATAGAAATAATACTAATTTTGTGAAATTAATTATTGTGTGCAATGTAAAATAAATATTTAATTTATATAAATACTGTTATCATAAAAATAAATAAATTTATTTTATTTTTCGTTATATAGGATTATAATATTCCATATAACAGACTTATAATCAAT